ACATCAAACACTTGATAAGTGACACAGGAGAAGTCAGGGTCCTACAATTTATTCATTGATGATGCTGTGAGAGAAATTTCAATGTACACCTAATGAAATCAAGCGAACTGATTCTATAAAGGTTGTACAATAAACTGCAGTTGATTAATGTACAGTTTGGCACTGCACCTGAGTCCTTCAAAGATGGTTTAAATTGCAAATGCAATAATGTCGAAAACGTTCAAAATCTTCGGTTCAAACTAGTGTTTGCAATGTGGAGCCTTTCAAGCCAAACATGTTGCCAAACTAGGCCTTATATTATGGATTCAATTCCTACCTTTCGGAAACAAGTCACAGCCTCTCATAGCTGTAGCAACATCATAAGAGTAATGCCATATGCTGCACCACATCTGCCCCTATTATTCGATCACTATGTGGTATAGTAAACAGGTATCGAATAATATTGAGGATAAGATCTACATAATTGTGTGGAAATTGCTGAATTCGGTAACCATTCTTACCTTCCATGTAGAACAAGAACTTCATCTTTAGTGGAACTTGGCCATAGATCGAGTTCGATAACTCTGACACCTCTTTGCAAAGCCTTGATAATTGGGACCTCACTACAATCACTGCTCAGTTGATTCCCAGTTAGATAGGAATTGTGGCCTGTATATATGAAATAATGTGACAATGGAGCAGTCATATCGTGGTGTACCTGGAATAACATATTATCTGTCAAACTTAAAGCAGTAAATTCTTCTGATATATCAGCAAAGAAGGAAAAGTTCAATAAAATTATCATCAAGCACAAAAACCATAAATGGAACATCAACAAGGCAACATAGTAATCAAAACATGATCCTTGTTAATTAGCGATAAGATTGTATTCAAGCATGGATGTTTGTTCAAGGGGATAGAGGAGGGGAGGAATCAGAAATGTAACCTGAGTTTTAATGGGGCCATTGAGATCATCAAAGAAGAGAAAGTGAAAGAAATCATCAACGTTAAGCGAGTGACTAGCATATTTGGTCACATGGTGTCTCCTGATAACAGCCTGTTGAATAATACGCTCTGCATCTTCCAGGGTCCGGTCAACCTCACCCTGGTGCACCACCAGGAATCGTTTGAGCTGCTCCGCGGTCATGTGGAGGGGAACGGTTGCTTCACCATCTGTGAACTCGGCAAAGGCCTTCTTGACATCAGCGGGAGGCTCCACCTCGTTGATCTTGAACTTCCTGTTGAAGAAGTTGAACATCTTGTAGTTGTAGCTGCCATTGTCAACGTTCTCGTTCATCTTCTCCTTCCCCATTATTAGTTTCTTTGCTGCTTTGTTTTCCTTCTTCTTCTTTCCCGTTCTTCGGGTTTGGTTGCTTTGGGTTCTTTTGGGATTCAACGGAGAGAGAGATTGAGAGTTTTTCCAGGTCCTTAAAATGAGGAGCTTTTGATGCTGGATCGTTGGAAGTCAACGTTACCAGGACAGGCAGTATCCTAGAACCATGGTTTTATTTTATTTATATATTTTAGATATATATATATATGTTTTGTAAAAAATAAACTTATTAAAAAGATTCTAATCAATTAAGATTTCTTAAAATTTCCCGTTCAATAGCAAACAAATTTGTAATCAATTTACAATTTTGCATGTCAAGAAATTTAACTCAAATTTAAATTTTTAACTTTCTTAAAAAAAAAGAAATCATAGTTGTTGGCATAAAGACCATATATTTAATTATTTAAATGCATATTTAATGTTTATTTTCTCAACAATAATTTAGTATATGACTACTACATCAGAACAACATTATTTAATGTGATTTTATTTTAAAAATAAAAAATCTAAAAAAATTCTAAGTTGATTGGTTTTTTTCTTTTGAGATTTATCTGTATTCATTCAAGCTGGGAAATCCCAATCATTACAAAAGAAGGATCTGACTTTGAGAAATAGACAGACTTCCAGAGTTCATTGGCTTACAAAAAGTGCCCGGAAACTCAAACAAAAAGTGTAGACTCATCTATACATAGCCAGTATACAAAAGGGCCGCAGGGAGATCACAGGAAGGTTACAGTAAGAACTGGGAACTCCAGCTGGGGTTTGTTTCTATTTCTTACTGGCACCAAACTTTCAACACAACGAACGTGGCATCCAACCATAAAAATCATTGTCCAAGCAGAGGGAGGGACAAACTTGAGATGGTAAAGCAAACTCAATCAACAAGAACCGCCCTGAGTCAGTGTCCGGCAAACATATCAAAGCAGTAACCAAAGAACAGAAAACACGACAAAAACACTGAAAGAGCTAAGGGTGGATTCAAGTAAGATCATTAGGCATCTCAATCGCTGCTTTGGCGAGGTTGTCTGCCACTTCGTTACCGGACCGAGGGATATAATGGATTTGCCTGTCAAGGATTTTACCTTTGAGTGCCATGATCTGATGAAGAAGTTGCCTTAGTCTCCATGGGGCATTAATGGGCTTAGAAATCCAAGATACTGCATTCTTGGAATCAGACTCGATGTTGATAGCTCCGGATTTGGTCCAGGATGATGCTGCAAAGAGGGCCATAACTTCTCGTATTGCCAGAACTTCCGCGAGATTCGCTTCCCCCAACCAGCTTTCATGGAGAAGATCAACTTGATGGTCCCGTTAGCTTCCTGTAAGCTCCCTCCCATTCCAAGATAGCCAGGGCACCCCCTAGCTCTAGATGAAGAACTGATACTCGGGTCCCAATAGTCAGAAATGGGGCCCTAGATGACATAAACACTTCAGATTCCGTAAAAAATCTTGACTTCATCAACTGTTTGTTAAGAACCAAAATGTCCTGAGCATGCATGCTTGACTGGCGATCAGTGCCGAAGAATTTAACCTAACATTCAACTCAATGCAGGATGTGAAGGGAGAAAGATGATTCCTCCGCCTTACCAGTACATGAAGCCTTGATATACCTCAATAGACAAATGTATCATAAGCTTCGCTGCACTGATTAAAACTAAAGTGTTTTATGTTTTTGGTCCAAAGCAGTAGAATCACATGAGGACAATAAAAAGCCAAATCAAGCTCTAACGCTCAGATAATCTCTCATCTAACTATCAAATACGCATGAAATGTACATAATACGCTTCATTAGCAACATGCTACATAACTGTGTAATTCCCATTGTTTTAACAGTTTGATCAGCCTGTTTGATTTAGTTTCCTTTGTTGCAAATTAACAATAAATTCCCATATGCTAGTCTCTAATATTTGTTTTTTTTCCAAAAAAAACTAGTAAAACGAAGAAGAAAAAGAAAAGAGACTATAATGTTGAGAATCTGACTCCGCAATGAACCCTTCAATCAGAAAAACCTATCGTACCAAGAATTCTTGTTGTAGCAAAATGTCATTTTGTGTTAGCAATGGAGTCAATCCAGGATGAAACTCTGCTAGAATGTAGTGGTGCCCGTGGCTGAAAATCACACCAAGAAAGGAGTAGGAATTATAACTTCTTTTCCGTATCTTAAGAAGCAAACTACAATTCAACTCTGTGGGACGGTGTCTCATCGCTCCGCAACCCAAAGAGCCAACAAAACAGTAGTTGCGATAACTTACTGGTTTCAGGCTTCTGCTTAGGCTGATCAAGATTCACATTGCAAAGGGTATTGTAATCATGCTTTGAGTGAGGCCGCACAATTCTCTTCTGAGAATGTCATGAAAATTTTACGAGTTAGAGTAAATAAACATAGACGATGGAGGGTTATAGTACCTTGAAATCTTCATAAAGAGTAATGAAGTATGAAAATAATACCGCAAGCTTGATCGGTTATATCCAACAAGGATGTTTCCTTCCATATTTGAAATCCGAAGAAACCAAAAATATAAGTAAAAAATTGAACTGTGAAAGCAATTTCTGATTTCTAACAGGATATGAACCATAAAATTTGCATGAAAAGAAGATGACTACCTGCTTACACAGAAACCAGAGAGAAGATATATCCTGTCTTGAGAAATTGAACTCATATCGCCTTGCTAATGCAGAGGTATAATTTCAGTGAGGATTAGTTCTCTCAGCTTATCAACAGCAGGTCCATGGTTTCTCCTGAAGTCCTGCATTTATATATCCAGAAGAAATATAAGCAAATGAAAGAACAAACCTATTAAATCACAGCACAATGTCTTAAAACCAATGTTTGTACTAAGAAAATAAAAAAGTTTAATGTATGAAAAACTGGAAACACACATGCTTGTGTTGGTGCACATGAGTTTTAACTAATTCCAACATTATTACTCTTTTCGGCTTTATTCGTTTTTCTTTCTTACAATTTTAAGGAAATTAAGATAAAAATTTTGATTTTGAAATATTTTGTATTAAAATTTTAATTTTTTTATAATACAGACGTTCAATATTTTTTAATATTCTAAAAAGAAAAAACGAAGAAAGAAAAAGAGATCAAGGGAATACTTTTATATGGTAGAGAAAAATATATATTTAATTCACTACAAGGTTGGCATGCATGTCTTATATTTATTTTGGTCTTAAAATGATGCTATAAGTTAGGATCAAATTTATTAGTAATTTACTATTATATAAGTGAGGAATATATTTTGGCCATTTTTCTAGTTAGGCCAAACATGGCTCACATAATCTTCTTGTGCTACTTTTGAAGAAATGATCCATTTGTGACCCATTTTTCATTTCAAAACTTGGAAATGGTCTACTTTGTTGGGCAAATGCATCTACATGGGAAAATGTTTGAGGTCATCATGTAGAAAAAACAACATCAAAGAGAAAAATTGAAAGCAAAAACAAGTGAGGACTAACCTCAGCAACTTTAGCCTGCAATTCTGGTGTAAGGTGGTCTTCTAATGTTATAATAACTGGGTAAGGAGAAGTAGCAAAAGCATACTCCTTTATGGACATCAAACACTTGATAAGTGACACGGGAGAAGTTAGGGTCCTACAATTTATTCATTGATGATGCTGTGAGAGAAATTTCAATGCACAACTACTGAAATCAAGCAAGCTAATTCTATAAAGATTGTACATAAACTGCAATTGATTAATGAACAATTTGGCAATTCACCTGAGTCCTCAAAAGTAGGTTTAATTTGCAAATGCAACAATGTCAAAAAGGTTCGAAATTGTTGGTTCAAACTAGTGCTTGCAATGTGCAGCTTTTCAAGCCAAACATGTTGCCAAACTAGGCCTTAGATTATGGATTCAACTTCCTTCCTTCCTTTCTTAAACGAGTCACAGCTTGTCATAGCATTGTTATCATAAGAGTAATGACATTTGCTGCACCACATCTGCCCCTATTATTCGATCACTATCTGGTATGGAAATTTCTGAATTTTGTAATCATTATTACCTTCCATGTAGAACAAGAACTTCATCTTTTGTGGAACTTGGCCATGGATCAAGTTCGATAACTCTGACACCTCTTTGCAAAGCCTTGATAATTGGGACCTCACTGCAATCACAGCTCAGTTGATTCTCAGTTAGATAGGAATTGTGGCCTGTATATATGAAATAATGTGACAATGGAGCAGTCACATCATGGTGTACCTGGAATAACATATCATCTGTCAAACCTGAAGCAGTAAAATTCACACTAGAAACATTCTTTTGATATTTCAGCAAAGAGGGAAAAGTTCAATTAAATCATCATCAAGCACAAAAACCATGAACATCAACAAGGCAACATAATAATCAAAACATGATCCTATTTAATTAGCCATAAGATTGTGTTCAAGCATGGATGTTTGTTCAAGGGGATAGAGAAGGGGAGAAATCAGAAATGTAACCTACGTTTTAATGGGGCCATGGAGATCATCAAAGAAGAGAAAGTGAAGGCAATCATCAAGGTTAAGCGAGTGCCTAGCATATTGGTCACATGGTGTCTCCTGCTAACAACCCGTTGAATGATACGCTCTGCATCTTAATTCCAGTGTCCGGTCAACCTCACCCTGGTGCACCACCAGGAATCGTTTGAGCTGCTCCGAGGTCATGTTGAGGGCGGCGGCTGCACCACCATCTGTGAACTCGGCAAAGGCCTTCTTGACATCAGCGGGAGGTTCCATCTCGTTGATCTTGACCTTTCTGTTGAAGAAGTTGAACTTCTTGTAGTTGTAGCTGCCATTATCAACGTTCTCGTTCATCTTCTCCTTCCCCGTTATTGGTTTCTTTGCTACTTTCTCTTTCCCTTTTTTTCTTCTTCTTTCCTGTTCTTCGGGTTTGGTTGCTTTGGGTTCTTTTGGGATTCAATGGAGAGAGATTAAGAGTTTTTCAAGGTCCTTGAAATGAGGAGCTTTTGATGCTGGATCGTTGGAACTCATCGTTCTCTTCTTGTAGTAAACCAGGACAGACAGTATCCTAGTACCATGGTTTTATTATATA